AGAGCATTTTCCTTAATGGAAACGAGCAAATCAAAGCAGGCAAATTGCCTGTCATCTCCTGAAGTTACAGCATCTCACCTGAGCAGCCCAACTGTGGCATCTTGTTCTTGGTGTTCAGACCACAGAAAAGAAATCTTGTCTTGGCCAGCACGGTGGCTCACTCCTGTAATCCCAACAGTTTCTTGTCTTGGCCAGCACGGTGGCTCACTCCTGTAATCCCAGCACTTTCTTGTCTTGGCCAGCACGGTGGCTCACTCCTGTAATCCCAGCACTTTCTTGTCTTGGCCAGCATGGTGGCTCGCTCCTGTAATCCCAGCACTTTCTTGTCTTGGCCAGCACGGTGGCTCACTCCTGTAATCCCAGCACTTTCTTGTCTTGGCCAGCACGGTGGCTCACTCCTGTAATCCCAGCACTTTCTTGTCTTGGCCAGCATGGTGGCTCGCTCCTGTAATCCCAGCACTTTCTTGTCTTGGCCAGGTGTGGTGGTTCATGCCTGTAATCCCAGCACTTTGGGAGGCCTCGGCAGGTGTATCACTGAGTTCAGAAGTTTGAGAGCAGCCTGGTCAGCATGGTAAAACCCCATCTCTACTAAAAATACAAAAATTAAGCAAGCATGGTAGGGGATGCCTGTAATCCCAGCTACTCAGGAGGCTGAGGCAGGAGAATCACTTGAACCTGGGAGGTAGAGGTTGCAGTGAGCCGAGATCACGCCACTGCACTCCAGCCTGGGCAATAAGAGCGAAACTCTGTCTCAAAAAAAAAATTATATATATATATGTGTGTGTGTATGTGTGTATATGTGTATATATAAAAATATATATGTATGAATATATATGTATATATATATGGTTTTATCTCTGGTATTAGTGTTTTTTCTTTCTTTTTTTAACTCTTCAGGTAATTCTGTGCTTTATATTTTTGATAGTTTCTGTAAATATTGATTGCTCTGTGCTATTGCCCTTGATTTATTTTATTCCAAAAGTTGAACTACAAAACCATTTACTTTAAGCTTTCATTAATAAGACCACTTTTGATATTTTCATATAAAAAGTTCTGAAACTATCTATTTTACGTTTCGGTCAGTTGTGGAAGGAGGTACTTAGAACTTTTCTTTTTTTTCTTGAACTCATTAATTGATTCAGAAACTTTGCTGTAAGCCCAGAGCTGTGGTATACAGTTGGTCATTTTTCTATGGGTCACCATATAATGTGCTGGAGATCAAGTTCAGTCCCATCTTCAGCCAAACCATGAAGTGTTATGCATATACCTTTTCTCCGTAATTTCATCAGTAGATCAAATGTTATCCTAGTAAGTTGTTCCTTGGCCTCAACATCTTGGAGAATTCCAAATGACTACACCAAATGAGTTATGTGGACATTCTCTCCCTGAGTTACATGAAAATGTTTAAATTACTAATTTTATCAAAATGCACTGGGCAGTCTATGAGGATGTCTTTCAAGAAACCGGTACACAAAAATAAACATTCCCAGACTCCCTCTGATGTGGGAAGTGGGCCATGAGGCAACCCTTCCTTCAGGATTTGGGGCATGTGTGCCAATTAGAGTTTCTTCCAAGGCATCAAGGGAAAATTGCAAACATAGAGGAAGCCTGGAAATAATCCCACATGTCATTCATTCACTAGGTTGAAAGAATTGTGTTTGCAAAGTTCTATGATAAGACTGTTTTGTGGGAGTTGTGTGTACAGCAGTAATGAGGAAACAGGTTTTTTAAAAAATTCCTTCAAGTTCTAAAAATGCAAATGATGAGACACTCTGTGTTCTGGGAGGATATTGATTGATTAATTCTGAAAGAGAGATTTTGTGTAGCCAGAGGTTCCTTAGATGAAAGCTTTCTCTTTTTCCCCCATCCTAAGCCCCTTTGGAGATTATGCAAATGTGTTGTGTGCTTATGTAGCCATCTGGAGTAACTTTGGCCTGTGCCGTAAAGATGGGCTATAATTACTGAATGTGTGTGCATTGCCATTCAGCGGTAGCCACTGATGTTTACAATTTCTACAGATCCTATGATGATAGCTACTTAGTCTACATAAAATATAGCAGTTACCCTTGGAATACTTTCATTTCCTATTTTATAATCACTAGATTTAAATTCTAGAGCTTGAGTAGCTTTCAAATCTGAGCTGTGAGAATGTCACCTCCTGTGAACTTTCACGTAGAACCTCAATCCTCCTCACGCTCTGGGTCAGATTCATGGAAGGTGAGCAGGGGGAGCTGGCTGGGACTGTGCTTTTCCGCCACCACTCATTGCGATCTGCTCTCGTATTCTCATCGCAAAGCCAACGGTGTGTAGAGTATTCGTGACCGCCGGCTGTGTGTGTGGCGTTGGCTGGACCCCCAGTTATCCTGGAAGGGTCAGGAGCTGTGTGAAGCCCAAGACAGATGGGTCCTTCCAGCCTTTTGCCCCCCTCCCCCCATCCCTGCCACCGCACCCCCGCCACCTGCTCTCCCCTACGAGGGGAGGGGCAGGGACTTGAGCTACTCTGTGACAATCTCTAAGGAAAGGTTGACAGGCTTGAAGATATTGAAGGCACGCAGTCAGCTATTCAGGAAAAGGACAATAGCAGAACAAGAGATAAGTGAGGAAGAACCTCCCAAGCTATGCAGCCACAGGGCCGAGCACGGCGGGCGTGGGGGGCAGTGTGGTCTTGTCAGGCAGCGTGGGCAGCCCATGGAGTGGAGCCATGGCAGGAATGAGACCTGAGATCTGAGACCTGACTGACTCCAGCCCGCCTCGGTCAGGGTATGTGTGAGTGTGTAAGCTATGCACTGTCAGCCGTGCGCTGTGTGTGAGAGCCACACTGTGTGTGTCAGCCATGTCCTGTGAGTCATGCGCTGTGTGTGTGTGAGCCACATGCTGTGTGTGTCAGAGCAGTGCACTGTGAGCCAAACTGTGTGTGTGCACGTGTGTATGCCATGCACTGTGTGTCAGAGAGCTGTGTGCTGTGTGTGTGCCCTGAACTGTGTGTGTGCGTGTGTAAGCCGCATGCTGTGTGAGACCTGTAGGCTGTGTGGGTGTGAGCCGCACATTGTGGGTGTGTGTGTGTGGTGTGAGAGTCGTGCACTGTGTGGTGCGTGTCGTGTGCTGTGTGTGTGTGGTGTGTGAGCCATGGCCTCTGTGGGGGGGGTGGTGTTTGTGTGTGTGTGAACCATGCACTCTGTGTGTGTGGTGTGTGAGCCATGTGCTCTGTGTGTGGGGGGGTGTGAGCCATGCATTGTGTGTCTGTGTGTGTGTCTGTGTGTGTGGCGGGTGAGCCGTGCATTGTGTATGTGTGTGGTATGTGAACTGTGCACTGTGTGTGTGCGAGCCATGCATTGTGTATGTGTGTATGTGGTGTGCAAGCCATGCATTGTGTGTGGTGTATGAACCATGCACTCTGTGTGTATGTGTGTATATATGGTGTTAGCCGTGCACTGTGACTGTGTGTGTGGTGTATGTGCCGTGTATTTTTTGTGTGTGTGTGTGTGTGTATGCAAGAGAGAGAGAAAAGGAGGGAAAGAGAGAGAGTGTAGGCATCAAGCACCCCTTTCCCATAAGAGTAACGTGTTTGGATGCCAAAGGGCCGTGCACACCCTGGCTCAGAGACAGGCCCAGAACCCACGGCTCTATTTATCCAACTCAAATCGATGGCTCCAATTCTCTTCTAAATGGGAATATTTTACCTGCAGATTTATTACAGAGATTGTTAAAAATAACTTTTACCAAGTTATTAGGGTTCCTGCTTCTTTTGTCTTGAGTCGCATGAAAACATTTAAAGCACAAATCTCGCTTTCACCCAACATGACTGCGAGTGCATTGGCAGGTGTTCACGGGCTCCGCAGCCTGAAGCCCAGAGACCTTCCGGGCAGAGACCAGGGGCAGAGAGCCCGGGTTTCCCCTCAGAAGCGTCACGTGCTGGTCCAGGCCGCCCTCCACCCAAACCACCCACCCCGGGGTGAGCAGAGAACCCGGGTTTCCCTTCAGGAGCGTCACGTGCTGGTCCAGGCCGCCCTCCACACAAACCACCCGCCCGGGGGTGAGCAGAGCCCGGGTTTCCTCTCAGAAGCGTCACGTGCTGGTCCAGGCCGCCCTCCACCCAAACCACCCGCCCGGGGGTGAGCAGAGAACCCGGGTTTCCCCTCACAAGCACCATGTGCTGGTCCAGGCCGCCCTCCACCCAAACCACCCACCCCGGGGTGAGCAGAGAACCCGGGTTTCCCTTCAGGAGTGTCACGTGCTGGTCCAGGCCGCCCTCCACCCAAACCACCCGCCCCGGGGTGAGCAGAGAACCCGGGTTTCCCTTCAGGAGTGTCACGTGCTGGTCCAGGCCGCCCTCCACACAAACCACCCGCCCCGGGGTGAGCAGAGAACCCGGGTTTCCCCTCACAAGCACCATGTGCTGGTCCAGGCCGCCCTCCACACAAGCCACCCACCACGGGTGGGATGTGCTGCAGACTGTGGGACTTCTCGCACTGTGTGACCGATGTCATTTTTGTGTGGTTTTGGCGGTATCCCTGCTGTACTGTTCTGCTGCTTGGTGATGGTGTAAATTGTACTGCTCTTCAGAATTTTCTCATGAAGTGCCACGTCTAGCTCCTGCCGGAACATGCCGTGGGCCTCATGCAAAGAAAAGTGAGCATATTACCCACTAGGTATAATGAGCTAGCAGGAGGAAAATTCAGTGGTTTACTGTGTTTTCAAACACGCGTTGGAGAATAGAGATTGGCTGGGCTCTGTGCATTTGTTCGGAGTTAGAGCAGTGCCGGGGAACACGCCCCCCTCACAGAGCTGGAAATATTGGCCTCTCGAGGAAAAGCGAGAAAGAACTCCCTGTCCGCAGTAGTTCCTGTGGGTATCCCGGGACCCTGCTGCCTCCTGTTTTGTTCCCTGTAACTTTCATGTTAGAGCATTTTATAATTTTTGACCAAAGACGGGTTAATACATAATTAAAGTTAAACAGCATTATTAAAGAATGTTTTCTCAAAATTAATACTTTTTTCTAGTCCAGAACATACATGTGCAGCTGGCAAGGAGAGATGCTGTGTTTCACGGTGGATTTCGCGATGGGATTTACCTGTTTTGAGAGTAAGACAAAGGTAAGAGGCCGAGCAGGCATCCATGCCTCCCCGTTGCCATCTGCTTGGTTACATTCCATGGACTTTAACACTCAGGCCTGTTTGACAGAAGCCACCACCCCTGCTGGATTGTGTGTTGTGCAGAGGCCGTGCTTTCATAGACTGTCTCCTTTTCTTCTGATAGCTCAGGGACCCAGGATTTCCACAAGCCCTGAGTGTGTCTGGCCAGTAGGATTCACAGCAGGGTCAGTTGGGTGGACAGGGAAGTTGAAGATGCCGCTGCTAAGGAGGGACCCACAACACTTGAGTAAATGCTTTGAAAAAAACACTCCTCGTTGCCTGCCTTCTACCTGAACATTTGTGGTAACGGTGAACAGCACCTGTGCCTGGGGGAATTTATGGAGGGCGCATGCCAGGAATATACAGCTGCCGTTAGGAAGGGAGCGAGACCCATTTCCACCCGCATCTGAGCATTCTCCTAACTACATAAGTGTTAAGGAAATGCTTTGCGAGGACAATCCACTGTTTTGTCATATAATATTTTTCAAAACCTACTCTCTGTGTTAATTAAGAATGAATGAAATGGAAAGTGTTGGTAGGATAAATATGGTGGTTAAAAATTTTTTTCAACAAATTGAGTTGAAAGACCTAATTGTCTTTTATTAGCAATCTCAAATCAGGCAGCATCCCCTTTACAAAATAGAGCCCCGTCCGTTTTCTCATCGTCATTTCCTGACTTCTGTGTTCAGGAGCTTTGGGTGCTCTCTGCAGTGAATTGGTCATTGAATCTGTAGGTTAACGAGCACTGGGAACTGCGCCTTCTTTCTGAGAAGCCACCCTCACTGTGTGGCCTCTCCACAAAAAGCAAGACAAAAACCCCTTCCTGGGCAGGGCCTCTCAAACTGGTGGTTTTGCCCCCGAGGGACACTTGGACATGCCTGGAGACATTTTCTACTGTCAGGACTTGGTGGGGGTTTCTGCTGATATCCAGGGCACCTGGAGGGTGGAGCCCAGGGATGCTGCTCAGGGCACAGGGCCCTGCACAGGGCATCTCCAGGGCCTACTGGGCAATAGTGTGAAAGTTGAGAAACCCCGGCTGGGACCATGGGCTATTTCCTTTACGGAATTCCAGGGCCAGAAAATTTAATGGGGTCATTGTTCCCCTCCAAGGGCACATACCATGTTTGTAAGGACAATAGCACATATTTGCATAAGCGCTGAATAAGAAGAAGGGATTTCACATCTGCCGTCCAGTATCCAGGTCCATAATTCTGTGGACCCTAAAGTCACAGAGTGGGAAGTAGCTTCCCAGTTCCGCTGAGGTGTTTTTCCCGCTGTCCCTGGTCTGCCGTATGGACCTGCCGGTTCCAGGCTAGGTGACTTGCTCTGAATATTATTTGGAAGCCAGATCTGTATAACCTCACTGTGCATGTCCTTCTGAGATAAGGGAGGTCATGAAGCAACTATTCAAGCGTAAGGACAAACTCTCCATACAGCTTCTTAAATAGGACACCTGATTTGTAACTTCTACTTCTTGCTCTGTGTTTAAAGTAATGAAGTATTCCAGGTGATCTGAAGGGAGACTCCAAAGTCTGCTTTAGAGCAGGTTTGCATAGTCCCCTCATTGCAGCCCCTGGGGTCCTGTGTATCCCTCCTCTGGAAGGAGCCTGTGAGCTCCTCCTTTCCAGGAGAGAAACACTGGCCCACCGTCCCCATTGCTTGGGTCAGCATTCACCAGGGGCGTCTATCTGTGCCTGTGTTGCTGTGGGTAATGTACTTACAGGCCCTTCCCAGCCAGCACCTCTCACCCATGCCCGGGGCTCAGCACAGTGTCCAGAGGTCACGAGTCTCCCTGTCGTGATTCTGCCGGAAGGTCTCACCATAGGAAGATCCAACTGAGTCTGCAAAAATGAAAAGAACATCCATCACCACGTTTAGCCAAGCCCTGAGCCTCGTACCTGCAGGGGCTGATTTTCACCTGGAGTGGCCACGGGGCTCTCTGGGTGGGAGCGATGTTTGTGAGTTTCCAGGCCATTGCTCAACGTGGTGACACATTTCCTACCTTCATTTCCCCGGTGAGTTTCCTTTCTTCCTGGGCTGCCCTGTGCCTTTCGTCCTCAAGGGCCTTTCCCGGAGCCTCTTCCCATTTCCCTGGTGTGGTCAGTGATGCCAGGCACAGTCAGGCAGAGCTGGGCTTGGGGCCTCACAGGGCACTTCCTATCGTTTCAGACAGAACTATCTCCAGAGTCAGCCCTAAAATTAATGCAGTCAACTTTTAAAATAGCTGTAATTTGTTTCTTAATGCTGTGCAAAATGCAGTTGTGAGCCCTTTGGTGAAGCAGCAGTGTTTTAAACTCCTGGTAACCAGACCGTCCAACTCAGCTGAGCTCCTATAATCAAAGCCCATTTGTCTACAGCCTTTCGTGCCTCTTTCTGTTTGACAGCGTGGGTATCCCTCACCCAAAATGACCTGGGCAGTGCCAGAGTAAGCATGCAGGCGGTCCGGGGGCCTCTTTGCCTGCGTGCTGGGCAGGTGGCCTGGCCGGCTCCAGCCCTCCTGCCGCTCACTCTCCTTCCAGCGAGGAACTTTTCCCCTCCTCAGCTGAGGGTCTCTTCTGCTCGCTGTCCTCTCCACTGTAGGTCAGCTTTGTGTAAAGATTCAATGACGATGTGTTTTTGTGGTCTGAATCTGAGGCTTGGAGGCCCTGACCTGCTGACCTGTTTTCCTTTGAAGGAGAGCACTTGACCTCACATTTTTCTTGGGATTATTTCTTTATTTCAAGGAGTTCTGGCCTAACACTGGTTTGTTGAGTCCACTCAGACAGCAACTCAACATGAAAATAGTGCATGACAACATAAACAATTGTTCCTTGTAGTTTACTTGGGTTTATTATAGAATTTACAATATTTGAATTAATATTTTTTGAAGGAAAGCTTTCCCACCTTAACTATGAAGGATAAACCAATGAGTTGTAAATTCATAAAATGTTGATAATTTTGCTGTATTTGGCATCTTGTCACTCATGTCAATGTTGGAGGACATTTGTAAGTCTGGCATCAAGAGGCTTCCAATTATTTGTATATTGATAAGAGCATCAATATGATGAATGATATGAAACAATTATGAAAATAAATATCATTGAATATGAAATGCTTCTAAATAATTATTTAAAATGTTGTTTTCTCCAGTGCCCATCTGCCCTCTGTATTAGTTATTAGAAAAAAAATCAAATAGATTACGTGGCTACAAATATTTTGTTTGGAAGTTACCATGCTTATATTCACAAGACAATTAGCACTTTTACGCCACACTATACTGTTAACTCAGGACATTTGTGTATTATTTCTGGGTCAAAACTAGACCATGACATGGCAGCAATGCCTATTCACCAAACTCTTGCAAGGAAAGAGGTTCCGGACTTGGGAGGCCAACCCAGCTCATCTGCTGGGACATCCTGCTTCGAAGCCTGTGTGTGGTCAAATTTCTTGATTGCCCACCTCTGCTTGCCAGAGAAAGACAAGCAATTATTTCCAAGCCTGAATCCATTAACCATCAACTATCTATTTTCAATGTTGAGAAAAGAGTTAAGCAGGAAAACAAAAAATGTGTTTGACCATGAAAATATTTTCTGCACTTACCAAATTAATTGGGAGGCCCTTTTTTTATTTTTTTTGGCTTAATTTTCTGGTTGGAAGTTTTTTTTTTTATTTAAGGGGGTTAACTTGGACCCCTTCTTGGTTGTTGGGGTTGGGGGGGTTCCTTGCCCCGTGCGGGCGGTTCCCTTGCCTTTTCCAGGGGCCTTCTGGGCGGTTGGGCCTCTGGGTGACGTCCACATCCTCTTGCTCTCTGGATTAGCACTGACTTCCCTCCTGTTCCATGTAACTAATCAGAAGTGGGAGAGAATATCAACAAGAATAGAACCCACAGTGGTGTGAGAGAAGCGGAGACTGACCCCGGGTGCGCACCAGGCACCAACCTGGCAACAACCTGGGTCCGGGAGGGGTCCTGCCTGAGCCCTCAGCCTCCACAGGGCTCAGGATGGGGCCTGGTTGCACATGTAGGACTGAGAGCTGCTGGAGAGGTAGAACCATCACAGGATTTACTTGCTCTTGGGGGCACAATGAAAAGCTATACTTGTCTCTAAATGGCAACTTCTATTCTAACTGTACCACCAGGTCACTCCCCACACTGCAGCAAATTATGATTCTGTATTCAGGGTGATCAGTGCAGACCCTCACAAGAGTGTCCTGGGGCTGCCCTGGCCCCCATGGGGCCTGGTCCTTAGTTAGGAACAGGATACCTGTGGGGCTTAGTTAAGGTTGACGGAGAGGAACAAAAAGATCTGTTTTTAAAAGCTGAAAAGGAATTGTTTGTTGTGGGAGACAAAGTGCAGACTTGGCTTTGGCCTGATGAGGAGGAGCAGCAAGTGTCTCTACAGCTCTCTGGAAAACACCAAGAAATGAATCAAGTTTGAACCGAGAGTACCTCAAAGTCCCTGGTGTCATGGAGTTGCCTGGTACTATCCATGGCACCTCCACCGTGAAGGATTCAAGGATTACCTTCCATTGTCGGTGTGTTAACAATCGGACTGCCTTACAGAGGAAGTTTTACCTTCCACTGTCAGTTATGTTAACAATCAGACCGTGTTACAAAGGAAGTGAGAGGTGATTATCATCTTTAACAACCTGAAACCATCACGGTAACATGTAAACATTAGCATGTTTCATGTAACGTGCACTCAACTGCAAAGCTGCTCTTTAATTACTAAAACTACGGAAAAATATTTTCTATCTTCCAAGAGGGAGAACTAGAAATCTGGCTTCCCTTCAGCTTTTATCTGTGCCACGGGAGGATGGGTCCACCCAAGTTTATCCCCCAGGCTGTGGAACAAATAAAAATGGCTCTGTTGTGACTGGCTGCCAACAGCGTCTCTGGAGCTGTGAGTGGAGCACATGCCACCTTCCGATCTAGAAGGTCCGATCGCGCTTTGGAGAAGGGCTTAGAGTTGTGAAATTAAACTGTTACCCAGACCACTTTTAAATAAAGTGTGCAGAAATGCCATCCATAATGGAAAAACGAGTTCCATTTTTACAGAAACATTGCTATTATGAGATGCATAAGAGAAAAGCTGTGAAAGAGTTAAAAGAGGCCACCGGGGTGATTTGGAAGGGACGATTACAAGAGGAGCCACCACGTCCCCACCACACGCTCTGAGAAGGGCAGAAAGAGAGCCACACCTGCACCCACAGAGCCCCGACTTGTGCCTGGACCACGTTGCAGCCTGTCCCAAGCCAGAGAAGCTGACGAGATCCTTGCCCTCCATTACCCCAACAAGAGCTAGATGGTAAAATTGGGACACAATTTTAAGCATATATACTGGATGTGTATGCCTCGTGAGGAAACGTTATTCTCAAATCTGCCAGTGTTGAGTACAGTTACGGTGCAATATCAATGGACCAAAAAGACAATAATCATATACCTAAGTCACTTCACTGTGAGGACCATTTCGAAGCCTTTAAACAATAAACAGGACTTTTACATAGATATTTTTGCACTTTTTGTATATAATGTTTTAATAGCAGTTTATGATACCATGCAAAATATTAATTTAGGTTATTTCCAAGACCCTATCCTAATAGGGGTAGACCACTACTGAGCTCTCTTTCTTCAAAATCAAATTTGAGCCAAAGCCTCTTACTGCTGCTCACTGAGTCGTTTGAGTATTGCTTATTTTGTGAGAAATTAGGCAAAACCTCAATAGCCAAGACTGCCTAGCTTCTCCAGATGGATGAGCACATACCTATGATCAGGTCTCTCCTACAAATGATGGATAATAGGTTCTTTTAAAGGCAGATGAGACTTACCTCAATGTAAGAGGCTGAAGTCACAGCCTTCACTTAACAGCTTGCAGAGAGGGTGCTTTGGCGCTGCCCAGACAAGGTGGAATGGGTGTGGAGTGTGGGAAGAGGCTCTCCTGAGGCAGGTGCAGTGGGTGGAGCAGGGCAGGAGTGGCTTGGGCAGGTCCCTCACTGGGACAGGCCCTCCAGGCTGGCTGTGGCTGCCGTCTGCTTCCGGGGCTTGCGTCAGTGCCCCAGTGCTCACATCACACTCTCTTCTGCTCACGACAAGAATGGATACACACGTTTCACTTCTGGAATTGATGACCATAGGGTATTAGTCCATTCTCATATTGCTATGAAGAAATACCCAAGACTGGGTAATTTATAAAGAAAAAGAGGTTTAATGGACTCACAGTTCCACATGGCTGGGGAGATCTCACAATCACGGCAGAAAGCAAAGGAAGAGCAAAGGCATGTCTTACATGGCGGCAGGCAAGGGAGATTGTGCAGGGGAACTGCCCTTTATAAAACCATCAGATCATGTGAGACTTAGTCACTGTCACAAGAACAGCATGGGAAAGATCTGCCCCCATGATTCAGTTACGTCCCACTGTGCCCCTCCCATGACACGTGAGAATTATGGGAGCTATAATTCAAGATGAGATTTGGGTGGGAACACAGGCAAACCATATCACATGGGAAGCAGTGACTGAAGCATGATTTTGGAATATTCTGTTTCTGCACAGTGTCTGGCAATTCCAATTCTAAAAGGATCCTGATGCTCAAGTCTGTCCAGGTGGATTTGGGCTCAGTTTCCTCACTGTGAACATGGAAGAGACAGAGAAACTGTTCCCTAAGATCTTATGAAGTTCTAATTTTCCCAAAACCTACAGGAAACGTGTGCTTTGACACTTTGGCATAAAATGCGGAGATTCTATTTAGCTCCTTGATTTAATATAAAGGAAAAGATGTGGCCAAGAATCTTGAGGTTAGCATGTGGGCAGGAAATAAACCCGTCAATGGTCAGATGGGATAAAAGTGTTCTTGAAACTTTTTCCCTGTTTTCTGCAGCCCCTTTCCCTCTCCTGACACTTAGAGAAAAATATGTTCTTTGTTTAAAAATAAAAGCTTTTAATGGAAATTCGACCTATGGCTTGCTAAAAACAAACAAACAAACAAAAAAAAAAAAATTACTGTTCCCTGGTGGAATTTTTCTGGGAAGATAAAGATTTATTATAATGAAGTATGTATAATTAAAGACTACCCTTTATAGAAGACATCCATTAAGTCTTTCTTGCTGCAGCCTTTTTTATTTATGGGAGTAAGAGTTTGTAGAGTACATTTCATCTTTAAAGTACCTTAGCAAACATTAAGTAATTTTTGCAGTAGTATTAAAAGGCAATATTTTTAATTTTTAATTTTACATTTCTCAAACTGGTTCACGAAAAACTAAGGTTTAGTGGTTCACATACAGCCATAGATGGGGTGGTGTCAGTCAGGATTAAAGTTTTTCATTTTGTCTGCACTCTCGACTATGTCTTATATAATATAGGAAGAACTGGAACTTTTAGTGAATTTTTCTGAAGTTCTCCAAGCAGAAAAAGAAGCAATGCTCATAAGATGATTTAAAGCTGTGTACAGGAAAACGCAAGGGAGGACCAGAGGGGGCCACTGCAGGCGACGTGGGGCTGAGGACGGTGGATGCTGATGCATCCTCAACACATGCGGAGCAGCTACTGGAGGCTGGACCATGGGGCAGGAGAGCTGGGTGGGCTGGAGGCTGGACCGTGGGGCAGGAGAGCTGGGTGGGCTGGAGGCTGGACCGTGGGGCAGGAGAGCTGGGTGGGCTGGAGGAAGCCAGTTTGCAAAGATTGAAGAGTGAGAAAGTAGAGACTGGCAAATCATCACATGCTAAATGTCGATTTAAACGTTATGTGAATGTCTGTTGATGTAACAAGGCTGTTTAATGTAGTAAGAGATGCTAATTAAATAAATGAACTCTTGTTTATAAATCACTAATTAATTTTATTCCTTTACAGAATGTGCTCTGGAGATTTAAATTCTCTCAGCTTAAGGGATCTTCAGATGATGGGAAAACTCGAGTAAAGCTGCTGTTTCAGAATCTGGACACCAAACAGATTGAGACGAAGGTATGGGGCATGGGTTATTCTGCCACCCACCCACACATAAAGTACAGCTCAGATGGTCTGCTGGTAAAAGTCTCCATCCTTCCCATGCACACATACATAAACCAATAGGTCCCGAAGCACGAGTCTTTCTTAAAAATTAGACAATAGATACGTCGAAAGAGCCTGTCCAGGTCAAATGTCCCTTATCTGAAATGCTTGGGACCAGAAGTGTTTGGGATTTCAGATTTTGGAATGTTTGTCGATTAGGTACTGATTGAGCATCTGAAATCCAAAAATACAGAATACAAAGTGTTCAAATAAACATTTCCTTTGAGCATCATGGCAGCATTCAAGAAGGTTGGGATTCTGGAACATTTAGCGTCAGGCCAGCATTCAAGGTTAGGATTCTGGGGCATTTCAATGTTTGGATTTTCAGATTTGGGAGGCTCAAGCTGTACAGGATGTTTCTTATTAGAGAGATGTTTATATCCTAAAATAGTGACTGTTGAAATAAAGTATTTGATTTGACTAAAATGTACAAGCATCTTAGTAAATATTAGCAGGAAATCAATATTTTAAAATATACCAGAAGTCAAAATTTAAAGGAAGGGTTTTACAAACTGTATTTTGTTTGCACCCTGTATGTGATAAATTGACTATAATATTGAGAACAAACTGCTCTGTTAATTAAAAGACCTTAGACCTTTTAAATTCATTACCTGGAGGTGACGTTGTACTGTTGATAGGTGTTGACTTTTACCGTATTTTATGTATAAATGTGTTGCCCACAAGCCAGTTTTTATATAAACTTAATAAGACTAAAGATTAAATTTACTAAACTGAAAAATAAATTTTAAAAAATACAAGACTCATGAACACATATTGTGTGGAAACAGATTGTCAATACTTTGCAGACATTTTTTTCTCTGATGGAATTAATCTGAGCAGCCCGTCACACGTGGCATTTTTATATGTGAAAGTTCAGGTCAGCTTTGATCCTCTCTTCATTGATCTCAATGAAATGACAATTTATAGCTGTACTTAAAGTACAACGGAAATTGTATGTGATTGTTTGACATTTTTATGTTTTGGAAATTGACAAAAGTAAAACCTGATTGCAGATGGTACAGAGGCTGTGGCTCCTGGGGTGGGGGACAGTGATGAGGCAGCGGCACTCGTGCTGACCGCAGGGCCCTGAGCTGACCTCTCAGCAGGCTGCCCTGAGCCGCATCCCGGGGTCGTCAGCCGCCAGCAAGCTGGGAATGTGGAGAGAGAGGCCTGACATCAATTTCCATCTGGTATTTCACTGGCATGGATATGAATGGATCAGGGATGAAAATAGAACGTTCTTCCTCTGGTTTGTTTATTTATGCAGCTGTTTGCCTTGGGCCCCCTGGCAGGGGAGGAACACCATAACCTTTTGCTGCTTTAATCTTGTGGAGCTCTGAGTCTCGTACTGTGAGGGCGCGGGAGGTCTCCGGTGGCCATGAGGGTTTCATGCCCGCGGTGTCCCTGTGGCTTTCTGAGCCCCTCTCATCCCCGGGGCACAGGCTTCAGGACCTCCAGCAGCTTCCATGGCATCTGAAACTCCCTTTTAACAGTGTCTGTTAAGGTTAAATGTATTTGTGTTTTATTTGTTAATGATCAGTCAGCTCTTGATTATATGTTAATAAAAGGAGCATCAGTATCAGGTCACCTAAGACAGAGGGGCTTGAAATATGTTAGATTCACGTGGGACAGAGGCTTTGTGACAGGCATGGCTGCCTTGTGCTGCTGTGTTTGGATCCTACCTATTTCCATCGTGGGTGGGTGGAAAGGAGAACGCCCCAGGCAGTTCCAGAGGCCACAGGGATGGACGCCAGATTCGTAGGGCTTGAAGTTTAAACAATTCATGGGAATTTTTTATGAAAAAAAAAAAAAGTAAAACTGCAAATACAGCAACCTAGCTACACTTAGAAATGAGTGTGGGGCACATTAATATGTCCCTATAAACCCAAACTAAAAAACCCTCCACCTCCATTTCCCCACACCGGATCTCAGAGCCACCCAAGGCCCCCCCGTGGCACCCCTGGGGCGAGAGGGAGGAACTTGGGTAGAGACAGGCAGGGACCTCACAAGAGCAGTGACCCAAAGGCCCTGGGCACGTCGCTCGCAGCCCCCAGCTCCCTGGACTCTGTGCAGTCGAGGGCCTCACAGCTTACACAGGAAGAAGAGAGGACACAGACGAGGATGACAGCATTTCCCACCTCATCCCACAGAGCAGGAAACAGACATGTGGATGACTGCAAACACTTAGTGCATGGGTGGCTGTGTGCATGGGTGGCCGTGGGCATTTTCAGAAGTCACCTCCACACACTGAGGTTCTGCACTTGTCAACATAAGAGATATACGGAAAGTTAGAACACGGCGGCTGGGAAATGAAAACTCTAGAAGCTAATGCAGGACATAAGGAGTCCACGGGAATGAATTCTGAGTGAGACTCAAAGTTCTTGCAAATCTTGGATGTTAGCAATATGTCGTCTTAAGAAATAGGAACCTTTTATTACCTCAATACATCAATTAACCAGGAGTGTCAGAGAAAACAGTATTCCTAGTAAGTTGATTTTCCAGTAAAATGGGTGGTAACAATGAAACAAGTTTCCTTTTAGTAGTTGTTGAAAATATTTCTGGAATATTCTGCCAGGACACTGCCTTAGTAATTAGTGCATGATGAGAACACTTGAGTTTCTCCTGAAATCTGAAGGAGGAGTTCCGGGGCTTGAGGAGCAGAGTGAAATATTAATTCCTACCATCCGTTATTTGCAAAAATTACATAGAATTGTCCGGGCATGGTGGCTCACGCCTGTAATCTCAGCTCTTTGGGAGGCCGAGGCAAGTGAATCACGAGGTCAGGAGACCATCCTGGCTAACACAGTGAAACCCTGTCTCTACTAAAAATACAAAAAATTAGCTGGACGTGGTGGCAGACACCCATAGTCCCAGCTACTTGGGAGACTGAGGCAGGAGAATGGTGTAAACCCGGGAGGCGGAGCTTGCAGTGAGCCGAGATCACGCCACTGCACTCCAGCCTGGGCGACAGAGCGAGACTCTGTCTCAAAAATAAAGTAATAAAAGAAATTTTAAAATCACATAGAATTCAAGACTGTGGGATGATTTCACAAGATTCCAATGGCTGGAAATTTGAGGTTGCAGTAGTTTTTAAATAAAATATTTTTCTTCCTCTTTGACTGTTTTTTCCTTTAAAAAAAAAAAAAGAGTGGAGAGAAAGCAAATGTTATTGAATGAAGAATTTCCATCTTGTGCTGTTTAATTGTGTTATTCATGCAAATTATGTCAGATTATTCAGACATAGCTTGACACGCACTGCACAGGGGAAGCTGCCCTTTCCCAATTCCCACAAAAGATACCCAGTGAGACCCTGCCATGTTTCTGTGCATATTGCTTGTATTTTGCATATTTCTTTATAAGTCTATTTCTGCCTCTAGGCTGAGCCTCCAAAGGGCAACTTTAGTTTAGCTTTTTTATATTCAGCATGAGGTTCAGCACATATGTACACTTGATAAATGTTTTAAATGAATAAATTAACGAAGAAGGAGCAAATTAGTATTAAAGAAACTGCCAAATGTACTCACAGGAGTTTCATCAGTTCTAAGGAGAAAACTGTTCCTACTATCATTAAAATGAGATACATTTTAATGACTCCATGCAGATACATACAGAAGTTTCTGATATTCCCACATATATATCCATGAAGCTGAGGTTGTGCCTTGAAAGCAAGGCACAATTTACTGCAGAATCATGTCTCTGGGAGAAACACTACTGTGTATTTTTCACTCTATAATGATCTGTGAGAGTAAACCCCACTGAAAATTACGCCTGTGCCATCAGTGAGTTGGCTGAGTGTGCCAGCGACAGACGGAGGGCTTGGGCACCTGCGTGTTTAGGACCACTGAGGGGGTGGCAGAGCAGAAGGAATTTGGGGTGTTTCTGAAACTGAGGCCTGGCTGCTGAGTTTTCTCGGCAGGAGCGCCGATCGATGCCCACAGCATTTATCACTGAAAAGACTGAATCGAGGGTGCTGAGAAAACTATTCCAGGAAGCCAGATGGTGCCAGGAGGGAGGGCCAGCCCCAGCAAAATGTCACCCAACAGAGAATTTCCCATCTCCCTGTCTGTAAACCAGGGGCTTCTAAATGTTCTCATGCAGATGGATATCAAAAGGAAAAGCATAAACAATTAATATGATACTCGTGAAGCGCAACGCCCCCTTCCCAAATACAGATCCGAAATTATTTTTTAAAATCTCGTCTCAGGAAAATGAAAACAAAAGCAAAGCCTTCCTTCTTCCTCCCTTCTTCTCCTTTCCCATCCCTCCTCCCTCCCTCCCTTCCTGTTTGTTCCTCGCCTCCATGTCCCTCCCTCCCTCCCCTCCCTCTTACTCCGCTCTTCCTCCCCCTTCCTCCCTCCCTCCTTCCTTCCCTCTTCTTCCGTTCCTTCCCACCTTCCTCCACTCCTCCTTCGTCCCTTCCATTCCCTCCCTCCCGCCTTCCTCCGTTCCTCCCCCTCCCTCCCTCCTCCCTCTCCTTCCTTTACTCTTGCTTCCTTCCACCTTCCTCCCTTCTCCTTCCGCGCCCCTCCCTCCCTCCTCCTTCATTTCCGTTCCATCCCACCTCTCTCCCTTTCCTCCTTTCCCTCTCTCCCCTCCTCCTTCCTCCTCCTTCCTTCCTTCCCTCCTCCCCTCCCTCCCTCCTTCCTTCCTTCCGCCTCCTCCCTCCCTCCTCTTCCCTTCCTTCCCTCCCTCCCTCCCTCCTCCTTCTCTTTCCTTCCCCCCTCCCTCACTCCTTCATTCTTCCCTCCCTCCCTCCCTCCCTCCTTCCTTCCTTCCCCCCTCCGCCTACCTCCCTTCCTCCCTCCCTCCTTTTCCTTCCCCTCCGCTCCCTGCCCTCCCTCTTCCTTCGCTTCCTTCCTTTCCTCCTCCTTCCTTCTTTCTTTCTCTCTTCCTTTCCTCCCTTTTCACCCCCT